GTTAAAAAACACTCCCGACCCAATCCACAGTTTCAGGGCTCCCCTTCGTCGAAAAATCCTCGTCGGCCTCCAAAAAAACCAATTATCCGTTGCTAACAGCAACCAACGTTCTTTTTCTTTTCGTCTTCTATTTTTTTTAAACCATAAAACTGTACTGTTCTGACAAATTTGTCAATCCACATTAATTTCTCATAATCACTTTAATCACATCTAATTTGGGAATTTATAAAAAAAAATGTTTAGATATAAAAACTAATTCTATTACAATGCTAATACAATTTATTCTTTTCATCTCCACATCATTGTAACTTCTTATTTAACAAAACCCCTATTAATTTAGCTCCCACAAACTTGCTTGACAGTTTATTTTCTGACGTTTTTTAAAATTTCTATGTTTAAATATTTTTTAAGAATTCTTCTTTTTTGTTCTTTTTAAGGTTTAGACGATTCACCTATACACTAGGCAACTATACTATTCAGAAATTATTAACACTATACCAGGTAAGTCAAAATTAATTTATTTAACAATTTACTAATCTTTTTCTCTCTTTTATTTCAGAGTCGAAACCATATTGTGATGGCTTCATGAAATTCATGAACAACAAACTCATATAAAAATCCATTTAAGTTGTATCCTTTTTAACATATTGAAATCATTTCAATATATATATATATATATATATATATATATATATATATATATATATATATATATATATAAAACTTATTAGGGCTTCAGTCAGAAGTTTGGCCGGGATGTTACAGAAACACTCTTTTGATTTTGATTTTTTCTTTCTTTCAGAATGATTTCAAACCTTTTTTTGTGACAGGGTTTAATCGATTTTCTACGATGATATTGTCAATATGTTGGTCTGCATTGTCATTACAATATACATTCATTTGTTTACTATTTTCATTTGCAGTTATCAGAAAATCAACACTAGAAGCTGGAACACCCAAATCTTTTTCCAAGTTTATATTACCATTGTTTGGTTGGATCACATTTGTTAATACATTTTCGAATAGTACTTCAGGTACTATTCGAAAATCTCACAACTTAAAGTTAAAGAAATGAAAATATCTCATGCAGTAAAACCCATACCGTGTAAAAACGCTGATGCATTTTGCAAAAAAAGTGTGGACAGAAGATTATTGCAGAACGAATAGAGTTTATAAACAAAAAGTTTTGGGAAATAAAGTGGTCTGAATGAAGATATTTCATTTTGACATCGTGTGATAAGGTTGATGTTAAACTAAGAAGAAATAAAAACTCTGAAACAGAAAGACGATCACTATCTTTTCAATACAAACCATAAGATTGCTCTGACGTTACACAAAAGGTTTGTAAGAGTTTTTTCCTCGCCACATTAGGCTTTAAGAAAAATAATGACAGGTTTGTGTATACATTCACAAATACTCCTATAGGTGCTTTAACTATACCTAGTGATACTACAGGAAGACAGCCATCAAAAAATAAAGGACCCATCACATAATTATCGAACACATCGAATCATTTCATCCCACGATTTCCCATTACAGACAGGAGCATGCTCCAAATGTGCCTTACCTTCCAGGTGATGTTACTGTAGCACTTATGAACAGCAAATTCATCAACAAATTTCCTGAGTTTAAAGGAAAAGTATCATATGATTTATACGGGCGAATCATTAAAGAACAACATATATCATTCGCACAACTAGGACGTGAGGAGTGCGAAAAATGTGAGCAATTTGCTCTTTATGCCAACAGAAAAGAAAATCTTGACATATCGTGTGATATATGTAAAAAATGGAAAGTTCATAACGAATTAGTTACAGAAGCTAAAAACGCATATAAAAGTTTTTCTGAACAAGAAAGATCAAATAATGCAATAAGTTTTTCAAGTGACATGCAGAAGGTTATTATGTTGCCAAGAGTGGACATGTTCAAGAAATTATTATTTGTAAAGCGTTTAGTAGCCTATCATGAAACCTTTGTACCTGGAGGCAGAAAAAGTAAAGCAAAAGTTCACTCCATTTTGTGGCATGAAGAAATTTCAGGCCGCCATAAAGAAGATAATGTTAGTGCGTTGTACATGTTTTTAAAACAACACAGAGATACTGAAAAAAATAGTTCTTTGGTTAGACAACTGCACTTTCCAAAACAAAAACTGGTGCCTTTACACATTTTTAGTGTTTGTACAACTATTTCCTAACTATTACTAACACTTACTTCAAACTCCCACACAGAAGATTATACACATGGAAATGACCTCAAGATACTCCAGGCAGCATAGTGAGAAATCAAATAGATTACATTCTGATTAATAAAAGATTCCGAAACAGCATAACATCAGTCAAGACATACCCAGGAGCTGATATCAAATCAGACCATAACCCACTGATTGGCAAAATTAGGCTCAGGCTAAAGAAGGTTAGACGTAGGTTCAATTCGAAATTCGACATCAAGCTATTAAAAGACCAACACACAGAACATCGTGTAAAATGGTATATACCGAACAATTAGAAACGGTATATACATACAGTTTCAAAAGACATACGAGAGAAATTTCTCAAACCACCAAAAATAAAGAAGAAATCGTGGATGACAAATGAGATTCTAGATATGATGGAAGAGAGGCGAAAGTTCAAAGATCAAGACATATCATTATACAAAAGAATCGATAAAAAGATCAAAAAAGATATTAGAATAGCTAAGGATACACATCTAAGAAAACAGTGTTCGGAAATACAGCAATTGCAACATAAACACGATACATTTAATATGCACAAAAAAGTTAAAGAAGTTAAAGTTAAAGTGTTTGGCAGATAACCAAGGCAAACAACTGTTAACCGTGGAAGAAAAACTTGACACTTGGAAGAATTATGTGGAAGTAACTTTTGCAGATGAAAGGTAGACTACCATTGAAGACACTGAATGCCAAACAGGACTCCCGATTAACATTGAAGAAGTCACGTTAGCTATTAAAAGAACTAAAGATGGTAAAGCGGTAGGGCCTGACGAGTTTTGTGCAGAATTCCTTAAACTTATGGCTGAACACGGAATAAAATGGACCACAACTGTATTCAACAACATATACGTAACTGGAAAAATACCCCAAAGCTGGTTAAAGTCGACCTTTGTGACCATACCAAAAAAATAAATACCAAAACATGCGAAGACTACAGAACAATTAGCCTAATGAGCCACTTACTTAAAACGTTCTTGAAAGTGATACACGGCAGAATATATAAAAAATGCGAAGAACAAGTATCATGGACGCAGTTTGGATTCCGCGATTCCTTAGGCACCCGAGAGGTTCTATTCGCTGTCCACGTGCTTATGCAACGATGCAGGGATGTTAACTGCGATGTGTGTATTTGTTTTATCGACTACAAAAAGACATTTGATAGAGTAAAACATGATAAACTTATAAATATCTTGAAAGAAGTGGGGTTAGATGATAGGGACTTGAGAATCATCTATAATTTATATTACAACCAAACAGCCAATATTAAAGTGGATGATCAATTGACAGATCAATTGTATTTTCTACCTTATTATACGGAGTAGAGGTCTGGACACTTTCCGAAGCTTCCTTAAGAAAACTCAAGGCATTTGAGATGTGGTGTTACAGACAAGAATTTCATGGGTGGATCGTGTGACTAATGTTGAGGTCCTAAGTAGAATAGGCAAGGAATGCGAGATTATTAACACCATCAAAGTGCGCAAACTAGAATATCTTGGCCATGTTATGAGGAATGAACAGAGATACGGCTTGTTGCAACTCATTCTTCAGGGCAAGGTATTTGGAAAAAGAGGACCAGGGAGAAGAAAAAAATCTTTGCTTCAAAACCTGAGAAAGTGGTTTAATACATCGACAACCGGACTATTTAGAATAGCAGCAAGCAAAGTTAGGATAGCCATGTTGATCGCCAACATCCGGAACGGATAGGCACCGTAAGAGAAGAAGAGCAACTATTTCCAACCTGGTCATTCAGTCATGAGAGCAGACAGTTTTCACCATCAAGTTAAGCAATCATTAAAGGCTCAAAAGAAAACTTATGATTTTAACGACTTTGTTAATGCAGTGAAAAAATCCAAATCTGGAAATGTCAATGTATTCAAAATGCAACATTGATTTCTATCACTGGCCGAATTTCGTGTCCCGACAAAAGCAGAAATCATCATAACGTTTCTATTTAAGTAACATAGTTAATATTAAAGCTAAACAAGGCAGTTATCATTTGTTGTGCAAGACAAACTATGATGTAATGAGCCCCTAGCAACAACTGGACTTTTTACAAAACAATCAATGAAAGGGATTAAACTACCCAGCCATCATACTGCACCATGTGGATTTTCAGAAGATAAGAAGAAAAATATCGTTCAGTCAATAAACGAAGTACTGCCAGAAAACCGAAAACAATTTTGGAAAGATTTACCTACGAACATCTCAGCCAAAAGACTCTATTGTGACATTCCTTGTTCTTATGTAAAAGTATTGGTTATATTTTTTAGAAAAGATGTTAAGTTAATCCATTCTTAAAACTGTATATTAAGTTTATTTTCCTTACATTAATAGATTATAAAATATCTAAATTCTGTGTTCTTTCAACAAACTATTTAAAATTTAAAGCAGTACATACGGCAAATATATCCATTCACATTACTAAGGAAGAGTGCCGTATGTACGAAACCATTTTATATTTTCAACATTTTTTGCATTAAAAATTAGAATTATAGAATAAAAAATTTCATTTGTGTTTAACATAAATGTACTTGAAGAATAAATAATTAATAACCAAAATATCTTCATATTCAAAATTACAGCATCCTTCTAAACTTTATGTCGAGTTTTCTCAAAATCCTACTATTGTTATTTACGGCACTTTTGGTTAGCTAGGCAGTATTTATATCGGATAATTCAGATCTTTTCTGATTTTATTGGAATATATGTATCTACTAGAAGGATTATTACGAAAAACTAAAAAAGTACTTTAAATTTAGTCCATACATACCTTATTTCAGAAGGAGCTTTGTATGCACCGCTTGTGACGTATATATCCGATCCATTGGTATCGTAGCCACTTCCTCTACTTAAAGCGGAAGGGGCTCGAATGGGCGTGCTGGTATTCTGTCCATTTTGGTAACTGTTACTTTTTTGGTGATTATTATATCTTCGACCGTTTCGTTCGTTTACTATCGTGTATGGCTAAAAAAGAATAAATATTAAAAAGTCATACTACAATTTAATACTGTAAGTATTACATAATATTAATATCTGATTTAGGAGGTCTTTAATGTCGTCTAAGAGTGATAAGTTGCTAACTCCATTTTGGTGTGTATACATTTGAACTGCTAACTGCAAAAAGGGGACTTACAACAAATTTTCATAAATTTACTTTATGTTATTATTGCGTTCTTTACACATAAACACATCGTTTTCAACAAACAGGGGACTTCTGTGTCTATTCTAATGCCCGATTTCACCGACGATACCTAAATATTTAAGCATTACCTAAGCGGGCTTAGGTACTTCCTAACTCTAAAACGGATTTCACCATACGCTAAGAATTGCCTAAACCGCTTAAGCATTACCTAATGGTAGGATACGTTTTGCGATCTCCCTAAATAGTTTAGGTATTACTTATAGTTAAAAGTGAGGTTATGTTTTAACAGATTTGACGGATGTACTTGTGAAATTTGTTAATAATTTGCTTCTTACCGTAATTTGTGTGTCGTTACTCTATATGTAGTTAGTTTTTTTTTTTTTTTTTTTTTTTTTTTTTTTTTTTTTTTTTTTTTTCTGAAAAATGGCTTTGGCAGAGCCAATTAGCCAGACTTGTTTGTGTTGATTGTTAAAATCGACTGAATTTTAATTATTATAGATTGCAGATTCATAGTCAAAATTTTCTTATCAGTTATCAATGTTATTACTACATATACCTAATATTTTTATAGATACATAAATTTTGTTTTGATATATTTTTATTTTGTTTTTTTTTATTCTTTTGTTTTCTAGTTTTTTTTTTGTTTTTGTTTTCTCTTTTTTTTTGTTTTTTTGTTTTTTTGTTTAATTTTTTTGTTTTGGTTTTTTTTTGTTTTTTGTATTGTTTTTTTTCTTTTTTTTTGTTATTTTTTTTGTATTTATCTTTTGTTTTTGTTCTATTTCTATTTTCTTAATTCTTTTTTTTTTATTAATTTGTGGTAACGTTTTTTTTTGTATTTTTTTTTTGTTTTTTTTTGTTTTTATTTTTTCAAACCATATTAACAGATTATGACTATATACTATTTACAACTTGTATTTACATATTTTAACATGTTTGTAAATGCAATGAAGAATTTCCATGTTATTTGAAAATAATAAAATATTAAGGTTTATTGGAAAACAACACTTAGAATTTATTAGTTCCTTATAAAGTTCGTTTATATTATTCATTTGTAAATCACATTCTAATATAATATGTGTTAGATCGCCTATTTTGCCGCAAGTACAATTGGGAGTATTTGATAAGCCGATTCCATTCATGTAAGATGGCGTAAGAGCATGATTTGCTCTCAGCCGATTAATGGTCTTTATAAAATGTCGATTAGATTCTGTGTAAAACCATCTTCTTGAGGGTATCCTAGTGTTACAATGATAAAAGTTTAAGCCCGTCTTACATTCTCTGTAATGTAAATGCCAATTATTTTTAAGTTTTTGTCTACTAACGGTGTCAATATCTGTCGCTGGAATTAAATTTTTGTTTACTTTTTCTCCAAGCATATATGCTGATTTAGCTAAATTGTCAACGATCTCATTGCCTTTTATTCCTGAATGGCCCTTGATCCATGTAATTATTACATTTAGTCCTAATTGTATAGTTTCAGAAAGAATTTTTAGAATTTTCAGTTCAATGTGGTTTATATGTTTGGCTGTTTGAATGTTGTTGAATCTGTCGACCACACTTTTACTGTCAGTAAATATAACATAGTTGCTAGACGGCTTCAGTACTACATACTGAAGAGCAAACATTATTGCCATCATTTCTGCTGTGTATATTGAGCATTCACTGGGTAAGCTATACTGGTGATGGTAATTTTTATTTTCGTGGAACATTGCACAGCCCGTTCCATTTGCATCTTTTGACCCATCAGTAAAAATGTACTGATAGTTTGTCCATTTTTCTTTAATAATTATATCAAACATATTTGGGAGTAAATGTGAGTTTAAGTAACATATTTTAACCTTTTTAGAAAATAGTGTTTTTGCCATTTCACTGTAGTAGGGCGGAATTTGGCTTGTATAGAGAATATCGTTATATTTAATCGTACTTAGATAGCTTTCTACCAAATTTGTAGTTAGTTATTTTTGTATTATTTTATATTAATTAATTGTTGCTTTGGTACTATTTATAATATAGAAGCACTACAATTTATCGAAAATCTAGATCGATTCGATTCCTGATCTGATTCTGAAGACGAAACAGAAAGAAAACCTCGAGTTATCAAGAATCGACCAAATTATTTTAAAACTTTGGACGATGTGGATTTTTTTAAAAAGATTTCGAATGTCTAAACCAACAGTTTTATATGTGTTGGAACAAATAGAAAATGATATTCTCTACCTAACAAACTGGTATTTTCTTTCAAAAACCCATTCATGATTTCATTAAAAGTGTATTATTAAAAATATAAAATAAAAAACAATTTTCAGGACATGTTTTATTTTAAAATTATTTTAATAATGACAATAGAGCTGGTGGCACTTCTTCATTTTCTGAAATTAAAATTAGATAAAAAATGTATTATGCTGTATAATATAACATTGTAAACAACTCAATTTTAATTTTATTTAATATGCTCTCCGCCTATTTAATATGAAATTTACAGCCCTTTTCTTTTCCTCCATTTCATTAGACAAAATAATTTACAAAACTAAACAAACCTTATTTACAAATAACTAACTTCTAATTAAAATAAATATAACACGACAAAACTAAATAAAACCAACTTGGAAAACAAACAATTAAATAACAAATAAAAAAGTAAGGTTATAACTTCTTATTCTTCTATATATTTATCAATAATAGTTCAAACGTACCCAAAGTAATACCTAAGAAAGAATTTCCTAGATAAGCAGTTCTTTTAGTTGTGAAACGCTAGTGTTCCTAAGTATTGACTTAGGAAGTTCTTTTCGATAAGAATTACTTTTGAAGGCAACTGTTTAGGTATCGTTGGTGAAATCGGGCATAAGTATATTAAAAATGGCGGCTAAAATTTCTTTAACTGCAAAAAGGGGAATTTTACAGCAGAAGTTTCCTTTTTGCAGTTAACACACAGCCCGCAGTGTGGTGCTGCGCTCGTGTCGGCGCATGTTTTCTCTTCAATACCAGCACGACAACAGCGGTGTCCGCAGTCAGTAGTTCGACTTGAATTATTTATAAGAGAGGTGTTGTATCATATTTCTAACTTTGTTTGCAATGGCTCGAGGCAATGCTAGTAGTGATAGTGATTCGGATACACTTTGCATAAGAAGAAAGGGTGTTGTGAATTCTTATAAATATGCACGAAATAAATATCGTGATGCAAGAGTTCGCGGCGTTTCTTTTGTCAATGCAGCCGGAAAGGAGATACTAGCTCGTGCTCCCGCCTTAGAATGTGGGCAAGTAGTAGTTTTAGCCATAATATTTTTAAGAGTAATATTATTACTCTTCAATTTATTGTGCTTTTATTTTGTAACTTAATGTAATAATCATTCTCATTGCATTTGGCTGACATTCTAACACAATTTGCTAAGATTATTTAAGTTATGTTAATCTGTCAATTATTTTAAGTTGTTTTAATATCTGCCTCATCTATTTCAGATGCAAGTTGAAGTGTTTGTCTTTACTGGAATGCTGAGGAGAAGACCACGCTTCTTTTCACATTCAACAACTTATCCAATAAAGATGAACAGGATGTTTTCTTGCAAGGCCTTATGGATTGTGCTGTCCCTAAGCGGCAATTACCCGCTGATAAAAAAAAAGCCTAAATCCAAGACAGTGACGTACAATTGACTTTTCAATGGCAGTAGAATTGCTATTTGTAAAAAAGGATTTTTGGCGAGCTTTGAAATCACAAAGAAAATATGTGAGCGGTTACCTAATCTGCTTCATAAACAGCAAACTCCTCGTGATCGACGCGGGAAAAGTAGCAGTTATAATAAAATACCAACTGAACTGCTTTCGGAAGTACATAAACACATTGCTTCGTACCCACTAAAATAGCTCATTCTTCTCACGAAATGCGATATCTTGATTCCACACTTAATGTGCAAAAAATGTACGACATGTAGAAAGTTAAACATGCTAATCATAAAATTAATTACGAATCTTTTTAGAGATACTTTAAAGAAAATTTTGATCTCAAATTCGGCCAACCTCAGCAGGATACATGTGTAACTTGTGAAGAATTATCACTAATTAAAAATAAATTTTTAAATGACAACGCAAAAAGAGTGGCTGTAGCTGAGTTGCTAGTTCATAAGCGAAGGAGCAAAAAATTTTATAATTACCTCAGAGCAAAACGGGAGGATAAAGACCAAACAACTGCCGCAATTGCAATAGATTTCATGGCCAATATATCTTTACCTATTATACCTGTGCAAGATCTCTACTATTACAGAAAATTGAAAGTTAGTGTTTTCGGAATTCATAATTTGAAAAATGGAATGATGGTCTGCTATGTTTACCATGAAGGAGAGGGTGGCAAAGGCCCGAACGAGGTTTTAAGTCTTTTGAGTAATTATATTGAGACATACATTTTATGTGACCCTCACGTAAATTGAAAATTTTTGCTGATAACTGCACTGGTCAAAATAAAAACCATCCTATGCAAGGTTTATCATGACACTTGTTGAACTAGGTAAATTTGACAGTGTTGAATTGCTCTATCCGATTAGGGGTCACTCATACATGCCGTGTGATCAAGATTTTGCCTTGATCAAGGGAAGCTAAAGAAAATTGACAGGCTGTATCTGATAGAAGAAATTATTAATGTGATAATGAGTGCTTCTAAAAACCCGTCAAAATTTCGAGTACACCTGCTGAGACACGATGCTTTTCTCGACTTCAGTAATTGGGGGCCACGTTATTATAAAAAAACGTGTCTTAGTAACTCATCCTGTGGAATAAAAGTTCCCAAGGAAAAAAAAATAAGATTTCAAATTTTAACTTAACATAACATAAAATGGGATAGAGCGGAACCTGGCATCCTCACATGTAGTGAGTTCATTAATGGTGCCATATCTGATAGAAGAATAGAAGAAGTGATAGTTTTGCCGTCAACGCGAGCTTACTCTGAAAAAACGCCCATTATTGGCATCCACGGTTGAAGACAATAGAAAAATGATAAGATTTATTGACGATGACAATATTCCATTTTGGAGGGAAATAACAGTGTGCCCACTGTCCACCAAGTTGACAATTAACACTATCGACTATTTTCTACTCCTAGTTTTTTACTTATAGAACTGGTACTTTATATTACTTGATTATAATGGCAAATAAAGGTGTTTTCTGGCAAGTAGTGTTTATATTATTGAATTATTCCTCATCATTTTATTTGAATTACAGTTAACTGCAAAAAGGGGACTTCTACACAACATTAAAATGTGAATAATATACAAATATAACTAAAATTAATTACCACTTATTTACATAATTGTACATAAAGTTATATTGAACATTTATACCAATTTTCCTGATTCTAACTGATTTGATTATATAATTATTTAGTTTTATCTTCACCTGTAAAATTTACTTTTATGCAGATGTCCCCTTTTTGCAGTGAGCAGTTCATTTACCGTACTAAGTAAAATAAACGACATAGATAAAATAATTCCGGGTGAATAATACTTGCTAACTACAACATGCTTAAAATTCTCACGGAAATTTTGCTATCTCTCAATTTGGCGGCAGTTTCTTATAAGCAATAAGACAGGTTATGTGCTGTTAGAATTCGTACGTAGTTTCTTGTTTTGTGTGTAACTAAAATTTATTATAAATGTAAGTATAAGTTACAGTAGATTTAAAATAATAATAATATACTCAAAGTTTCTTGACTAAAAGCTGATATAAGAGAAATACCGAATAACAAAAAGCGCAAGGAGTTGGCCACTTTTTCAATATACATATTGTGTGGTTATCTAATATTTTTATAGGAGATAACAAATTTTATTATTTAAATTCCAACGGTTTTTGGTTCTATAATTATTTTTTTTGTTTACATGCTTTTAAATTTTTTGTAATTACGCGAGAATAAAATGTTTCTTTAAATTCAAAATTACAGACATTTGTCTTTTCATTGGTTTTATTTATTTATTAATTTTAACAACTATCGCAAACGAAATTTGCAACTCCTTTGATTCGTCTTATAGTATGAAGCGTTTCTATCATTATGTAGGTAGGTATAATATGTTTCAATTAGCGAAAACCGTTAGTAACACCAAATAAATGACACACAATTTTATTTACAGATGAGCAAAGGAAAACTAATGCTTGATTTGATTAAGCAAAAGAAGAGTAATTCCGTATCCGCAAACTCTACTTTTAAAAAGGACGGCGAGAATGAACTTAATTCTAATGTAATCATTTCACAAACACCAAAAACGTATATAGTGGAACAAAAAGTAATTATATAATCTGAAACAACTAATCCGGAAAGCAAAGTTTCTGTTAGTGAAGAACAAAAGAGTCTTTAAGCCTTTGATTCAAAAAGGCAGTAGCAATATATATGATAACGATTATGATAATCATAAACCTTTGGTGCCATATTCAGACGATTCAAGTTTGGAGTTTGGAAATTAAGTTGGACTTACATTTACCAATAAAAGCTAAACAACGCAGAAAACGATGAAAAGAAGTTGATCCAGATGCCTGATGTGCAACTGAACAAAAAAAAAGATGTGAAAAAGGCGAAGGTTATTTTGGAAGGGTAAAAAAGAACGAAAAGTGGACTTTCGGCGAACCAAAGAAGCCAAGAGAACTAAAGGCAATATACAAACGCAAGCAAAATGAAAAAGGTGTAATGAAATGTAACCGAATTACAGATGTCGACAGAAAAGCTATATTCGATTTTTTTTTGGACAAAGTTAACTTAAGGTGAAAAAAAATGATTGTGGATAATTCCATCAAAGCAATAGCTACCAAGCGCCATAGAGACACAAAGAAAATAGACACATCGAGAAGATCACTGACATTAAATTATTATTTAAAAATTAATGAAATTGACATCAGGCTGTATAAAACGATGTATGTTAATACATTGGGGATTGAAAGAATTAGTGTGTTAGTATGGAAAAATAGTTTCAGCACAAACTGTGAACCTCATATAAGAAAAATTACAAAATCTTGTACAGTTAAGCCTTTTGAAGAACAACAGCAGCTGTTAACCAAATTTATCGATAGTCTGCTTGCAATGGAATCTCATTATTGTCGCTCATCAACCACTAAAAAGTACCTGTTACCAGAATGGCAGCCCAAACAGGCACTGTTAAAATTTTATGTGTCAGACTGGTGCAAAACGCACAACAGTAAGCCTTTGTCCGTTACGTCTTTTAATGAAATTTTTGATAAGAAAAGTATTGCTTTATTTAGGCCGAAGAAGGATGAATGTGGGAGGTGTGCAGCCTATAAAGTCGGATCTATCGAAGAAGATGCTTACCAGTTACATATATGTAGGACAAATAAAGCACGGTCGGAAAAAGCCAAGGCAAGGAAAGCCATAAAAAAATATGGGCCTGCAAGTAAATGAGGAGAAAACTAAGATAATGGCCTCAACCCCCAATAGAGCCAGAAACATCGGCCACCAATTCACTGTTGATAACTCTACCTTTGAAGTGGTGGACAAATTCACATACTTAGGCTCCCTGATCACCAAGGAGAACGTCATGACGGAAGAAATCAAGCGAAGAATAGTCCTAGCAAACAAATGCTATTTTGGATTAAGTAGACATATGAGAAACAGAAACTTAAGCCAAAAAACAAAAATAACCATATACAAAACCCTTATACAACCAGTGTTGACATATGGATCGGAGATATGGACCATTTCCATAAGGCAGATGAAAACCTCCTGCTTATATTTAAACGAAGGATCCTGAGAAGAATATTCGATGACATCTGTGAAAATGGTGTTTGAAGAACGAGGTACAACTACAGATATATCACAGATATAAATATATATTTGGCGGTAAAGACGTAGTTATCTTATAAAAATACGAAGACTAAGATGGGTAGGACATCTGGCAAGATCACAACAGAACAACACTCCTAGAAGAATCCTTATGTCACAACCTGTGGGAAGTAGAAGTAGGGGTAGGCCAAAACTCAGATGGAGGGATTGTGTAGATGAGGATGGTAGAAAAATAGGCGCAGCATACTGGCAACAGTTGGCAATGGATGGAACTGACTGGCGTAATAGACTTGGGAATGTCGAGGTTCTTTTATAGGGCTGTAGCACCAATAATGATGATGATGATGATGTTTAAGTATTATTCAAAACAATTTGTTTCTTTTTGAAATTATAGAAAGGCTATAGCGGGATAAGATGGTCAAAATTGCACCATGCTCGATTTAGTTTTGGGCCTGGCCATTCGAAAGGACACAATTAAAAACTCACTCAGTTAAAGCTTCAAGTCCTTAGGTGCCTCTGGGGGTTCGCTATGGGAAAAAACGTATTTAAAGAAAAAAAAATTTTTTAGACGCTGTATTGTTGCAAAAAATCTGAAAAAATTCATGAAAGCTTAGTTTATTAATACAATACTACCTGATATTTTTCAGATTTTTAGCTTGAAAATTGAGCCAATGAAAAATATTTGCAATTTTCAGTAATATTTTAGGTTATGTCGGAAATTTTTGGCCAACTCTAAAACAATGTTTTTGTATGGGCTTTTTCCCGTTCTTTCGAATGGCATAGGTATTATTATCATTTTCAACGTGGAAAATGCCTAAAAATCGAAGAAACTGCTTTTTTTGGCATTTTTCTGTAGCACTCCCACCCCAATAAATTGTATGGGCCTAGGAACAAAACAAAAAAAAATAAGTATTACATAGAAAACAAAAAATTTATTTATACTGCCATAAGATACAATAATATCAGTTTTTATAAAATAAAAAAATATTAACAAATAAACATAAATTAGGTTTTTTAGTGAGATGGATGACTCATAACCTTAACAACATACATCTAAATTAACGATAATTCATATTTTTATATGTATTCTTACTTTTACAATCGCAATAAGCTACTAAAACTATTATTTTTTTCCTACAGCATGCTAAAAAAACGAAAAACCCCGTTTTTCGGCGTTGTTTTTAAGCTTTCGCTATATAACCTCTAAAGTTAGTGTCTAAATGAATGGTAATTTACATTTTTACATGTATATTTCCCTTTACAATCAAAATCAGCTATTTAAAGCATTAGTTTTATCTCACAACATTCTGAAAAACCGAAAAACCCCAATTTCTCTACTACATAACCTCAAAAGATTCTGAAAAATGAATCGTGAATTAGAACGCACTTGTACACTCAAAAGTTGTGGAATTATAAGCTAGCGAATGTATCTACATATATACGTGATATTATATCACAATGTACATGCATTTATACACAAACGCATATCTATATAGTTCCATGACTTTTGAGATCCTTGTTTAATACATTCATAAGCTCGTACCATGCTCGTCCATGGCTTACTCTTCCGCTTAGATACAAGAGCCTTATACCCATGCTTATATTATTTTTATTTTATTTTATATTTTATATGTACTTAACTGTTTTGGCCTTCATGTCTTAGCCCGACATCCCGCATATCCAGGGAGCCTAATTGTAACAGAAAACATGGCGTTGATAGTTGCGCCACACGGTGGTTGATATTAGGCGGCGCAACTACCAACGTCATGTATTTATGATATAATCAGGCTCGCATTATATATTGCTCTTAGTGCGTTTGCGTGTGTAGGGCCATATCCTCTATATCGCTCTTAGTCAGTTTGCGTGTTAGGGCCTTTATCTTTTCGGCGGGGCTTTTCCTCAAATGTTGAATAGCTCTCTGTTTTTGTGTTTATTTTGAATTGATTTTGAATTTGACAGCAGAATTGTGTCGTGTCTAAAATAACAGCCAAAAATAACCAGTATTATTGTTTTATATTGTGAAGCAACAAATTCTTTTTTTACTATAACGTCGACCCTATGCATTGTGGTTATTTATTGGTCGGAGGTTAATAGTAAAGTAAACATCATATGGAAGTTCACGAAAGCCAATGCTGTATTTTTATTTACACTGCGTTTCGACGTTCTGCTGAATAGCTCTTGCTACATCTTTCTCACTTTTTGACTGAATCAACTGTGTAATAAAGCAAGTTTATAAGTACCTCTTTAATACTAATTCTGGGTGTTTGGGTTATTTGGGTTACAGCTTTGAAAAAAAATATATGAAGTATTATATTAGAGAACATTTTATAGTTTAAATTCACTTATTTCATTGCTAATTTTTATAATAATTACTATGCTAATAATTACTACTTTTGTTACTGAAATAGATAAATATTTGATAATAAACTTTGTTACTTTAAACAAAGTTTTAAACGTTTGGAACAAAAGTTTTAAAAATGTAAACCAAAGGTAACAGTCATGGAACTATATAGATATGCGTTTGTGTATAAATGCATGTACATTGTGATATAATATCACGTATATATGTAGATATATTCGCTAGCTTATAATTCCACAACTTTTGAGTGTACAAGTGCGTTCTAATTCACGATTCATTTTTCAGAGTCTTTTGAGGTTATGTAGTAGAGAAATTGGGGTTTTTCGGTTTTTCAG